CCTAGGAAAAAGGTAAAGAGGATCTAATATTACTTCACGATAATTACGCCTAATACTAGAACTAATTTATATCCTATTTAGCTACGCATTATCTATTAACTACTATCTATTACTATTATTCTTATTGCTATTTATTGTTATATCCTATTTAGAACCTTTAAGGTTCCTAGGATACTACCCCTAGGAAACCTCTTTATTCTATATCTATCTCTCTATTAGAACCTAGTTTAGACTCTGTATTAGCTAAGATTGCGCCTAGACCATCCTTCTTTGCTAGCTTCTAGATAACTAGTGCAGCAGGAATTAGAGCAGGTGCGGGAGCAGGGATAGGAGCTAGGACTAATTTAGACTCCTTCTCGTGGAACGCCTTTATCTTAGCCTAGACTAGGAAAGTTGCCTCCTAATTTAGCGCTAATTCCTCCTTAAGTTCTTTAATAGCCCTTGTTAAGCCCTTAACTACTAAGACTATCTTATAGATACTATTCCAAAGCTAACGTAAATTAGATATAGCAGTATAATAGGTAGCTATAAGGATTTTAGTAGCCTCTATGCCCTTAGTCTAAGTATTAGCAATAGTAACGCACTTAGCTAGGTTTTAGGCAGTTTCTTAAATAGTGGCCTTAAACTGCTTAACATCCTTCTAATAGGCAACCACAGCTTTGTTATCCTTATCCCCTTTAGCAGGGTTTCTAATTAGACTGTAGTATTCTTCTAGAGCACCCCTAAGGGTAGAGTACTCTTAGCTAACAAAAGAAGGAATCTACTAGGATTAGTAAAGGAACCCTATTAGACTTAGATACTTACTAGATTGCAATACTTATTCTAGGAGATACAGTACTAGCACTTCTTAGAATTCTTTAACTTAAAATTAAAATTATTAAACCTGCCCCTAGCTAGAGCCCCAACTGCTCTTATACAGCGAGCGCGATAAGTGACTAGGAGGACTCCTAGTGGTACTAGTACTAGCATAGCTAAAGGTTCTAATTTAGATTAGCAACTATTTAATCACATAGATTAAATACTTACTAGATTTTAGATAGATTAGGTTAAATAATTGAAAAATTAGGGATATAGGAGTGAGAAAGTTAGTAGGTAGAGGGCTAGTTATAGGTAGGCTAGGATAGGGGTCTGTGCCCTAGGAAGAAGAAGTAAAGGTAAAGGCAGAGGTAAAGGTGGATTTATTTTGCAAAAGCTCTTCTTTAAAGAGGGATCTAAACCTAATCCTAAGGATAGGGACTATCCTTTCTCTATAGGAGGGGGTAGTGTAATAATAAGGCAGAATTGCCTGCCTATTATTCTATACCAAGTTAGGCCTAATAAAGGCCTGACTCACTAATGTATATAGAGAACAGCTCGCCTATAGTTAGGATAGGCATGTTCTTCTTGTCCTTTTGTACAAGACCTATAGGTGTAGGAATCTCATCCTTTTCCGTACAGACGCGCACTCCTATATGCCTTTGAGTCGTATAGGATACCTTTCAGATGCCCTACCTACCTAAGTCGTTACAATAGAGGTATATTTACTTATAGGGATTCTATAGGACTACTATTAATATATATAATAAGTAGATAATAGGCAAGTTTTATAGCGCACTATAACATGTTTATAACATGTTTCTAACTTGTTTCTAGGACTTAGGCGCTATCTCTAGTTAATTAATCCCTATAAGCGTAACTAGCGCTAGTAACTTTAATCTTGTATAAGATTTTGTTAAGTATATCTATAAAGAAGTATTCACAAAGTATATAAAAGAGAGCTAGATAATACTACCTCTTTATATCTAAGTAAATTACTACAGGCATTAATAGTAGAGGAATACTTTTAGCTTGCTAACCTCCTCTTATATAAGTAAATATATTCTAAACCTATTCTAAACGTGTTCCTAACTTATTCTTATATAATTAGAACACAAACCCTCTAAAGATACCTAAAACTAGGTAATCTATAAGAAAAACCTAGTAATTGCTGCTAGGATTATACAATGCTATAGTAAAATATTAAAAGAGGTATAGAAAAAACTAGAATCTTATTTAAATATAGCTAAGCAAGCAGGCTAGAAAGGATATAAAACTAGTAAGCATGTAAATATTCTTAAGGCCACTTAGAAGTAAGTTTATAACCTATTCTTAACCTATTAGAATTATATAAGTAATATTATATAGTGCATACTAGATAGATCTATAGGATATAAAAGAGTTTAAAGCCTAAAGCAAGTTTAGAATACACTATAACTATAGAACTCCTAATAGGCTTAAGCAAAGGTACCTTAAAAAGCTTTAGAGGGGAGAAAGTAAGTCTTATACTAGCGTTATATATATTTGCTAATTAAAACGTGTTTAGAATGTGTTTAGAATACGTCCTATAATAATAATAACACTCTAGATAATAATAAAGCAAGTCTTGCTATATCTAACTTAACTAGATATATCTTAGTCCTAATAAGAAATAAAAGAGCACGCTTAAAAGCCTAAAGCTAGAGGGCAAGTAGTAGAGCGGTATTAGAAAGAAGTTCACTAGCCCCTTTTCTATCTTCTCTACTACTAGGCTCTTCTCCTCTACTAATAGTAACCTAAAGGTATGCTTTGCAAAACATGTTTATAACATATTCCTAACTTATTATTAGTCTATAACTATAAACTTTATAATAAAAGGCTCTTCTTAGTAATTAGGCTCTAAAGGAGAGAAAAGAAAAGCTAGAGGTAGATAAGGAAGAACTTGCATAGAAAAAGGCACTATTTAAATTATAAAAGGTATAGTTTAAACTTAAGAAAGAGATAGCTACTTTTTATATAAGGTAGGGTTAGTCTATAAATATAGTAACTAGTTCCTAACTAGTTCTTAATATATTCTAGTCTATTATATAAGTATATATAAGTAGATAAATATATATTCTTTCTTCTTCTCTTTCTTCTTCTTTCTTCTTACACTCTACAAGAACTTTTTATATTTAAGAGTTTAATACTATTTTACTATCTATCTTTCCTAATATTATTAGATATAACTAGTTAATATAGTCTATAAAGATCTTTTAAAGTTAGTATATAATAGAACGCGTTAGAAACACGTTATAAACTTGTTCTAACACTAAGTAGGATTTATACTAGCGATATATTAAGCTTAAGTTACTTCTATCTAATACTAGGGTATTCTCTCCTATAATATCCTACCTAAATAATAGGTGTATAGTATTTCCTAGCGAGCTTTTCTACTAGGCTATTTAGGCTAGATTAGGGGTATAGGAACTTTATAGAGTATGTATATATGCGAGTTAGAACACGTTTACAATATATTAATAACTATTTTAGTATTACTTCTCTAATAGAGGTAATCTTATCTACTACCTTAAGAGGTATTATCCTAAGGTTTAAATAGCCCTAGTAAACTATAGTAGAACTATAATATAAGGTATTATAGAAGCAAGGATCTTCTATAGGAGCTTAATAGTAAATACTTAAGAACGTGTTCTAAACACGTTAATAATACGTTCTCTGCTAGTAGAGTAGACTACACTAAGTGCCTCCTCTAAGGTTTAAGAACCCTCTAAGATAGCTAGTCTATAATAAGAAGTAGTAGCTAGAGTAGAGGCTAAAGAGGAAGTAGAGAGTAAAGAAGAGGAGCAAATAGTTGCTCCCCTTTACACTATAAATAATATTTAGTAAAAGTAGTAAAAAGGAGATATAAGTCTAGTCTCTTAAAATACGTTTAGAATATATTAATAATATATTATAGCTAGACACCTATAAATACTAGATTCTTCTTTAATCTAAGGGACTACTAGAGCTTTATAATACCTATAAAAGTTAAAAGAAAAAGTTATATACTATTAAAGGACCCTATAAAAGTAAATAGTACTTTAGTTTTAGTAGATAGAAAAAAAAAGAGAAGAGTAGAGAGTTTATTTTAGTAATTACTACTACCCCTTTAGGTTATATACTATTATATATTATTTATTAGAACTTATTCTTAATATATTCTTAATATATTCCTACTTGTTACTATTATTATCTCCCTCCCCCTCTCTAGTATCTTCTCTATCCTCCCTATCCTCCCTAGGCTCTATAAAAGTATACTATAAGTAGAACTAGGTAGTATTCTAGCAGGAATTAGCAAGGTCTATACTAGCATTAAAGTAACAGTCTTAAAATATATTAGGAATAGGTTAATAATATATTATAAATAACTTACTATAGCTAGGATAATTATAAGTATAGATAGTATAAGGAACCTAATAACCTTAAATCCTTAGTAGGGTAGATATAGTAACAAAGTTAAGCTATAACAAGTTAGTAATGTGTTTTTAATAGGTTCTTATAGGCTATACCTTATTATTATTATAGCTACTATAAGTCTTTTTCTAAATTATATTTAGGAGGGTATTAGTATTTATAGGGGGGCCTATAGTAGCTACTAGCTAGGCTTAGAGAACTTCTATAAAATATATTAGTAATAAGTTTTAAATATATTCTAAATAACTTATAGCAAGGAGTATTCTAGTAATTATATATAACCTTTATATAGAAGTCTATATATATTAGTATAATAAGTTAAGAATAAGTTAATAATATATTTACTCTTTACCTTATAGACCTCTATTATAGAGGGCTAGCTAGTCTTCTTAACCCTACTAACCTTATAGTAGGCTATATTAAGCCTATAATCTTTTTTAGTATAGGTATATAGAGTGCCCCTAGTACCTAGAATAGCCTAAGAATATTAGAACCTATTTAGAATATATTTAGAACCTATTCTTACTTTATATAAGGTGCCCTTATTATTAATCTTAGTATAGTAGTAGCGCTCTCTACTCTCTATCTTAACTACCTTATTAGGGCTAACTATAGGCTATGCCCTAATATTATCTAGGACGTAGCTAAGGGCAAGGTACTATTAATAGTGCTTCTATAACCTATTAAGAACACGTTCTAAATACGTTTTAATCTACTTATATAGGATAAGAGGGATGCGTTAGTAATAGGTATAGTAGTAGTAGCTTATAGTATTACTAGTATAGAATATGTTTAGAATAGGTTTAGAACACGTTATAAAATCTTATAGCATAATATTTAGTTAACCTTGCTTAGCTAGCTAGTGGAGCTTAGCACGGCCTAACCCCATGCCAAATACGAGTTCACGCAGCGCTAATTCCATGGTCATATGAACTGCGCCCTCCCCAACTTGCATGTTCGAGACTGGCTCGCCTATTCCGTCGGCTGGATCGAGGGGTTCCACTTTTTTGCCTACGCTTTTGTCGTCTTCGGCCCAGTCCCGTCCATGATCGGCGCTTGTTGGTCGCAGAGACGAACCGTTGCCCTTTCGCTTGAGCCGACTCATTGCCATGAACATAGAGTAGGTCGGGTACCAGGCATGTAGGTACAATTTACCATGTATGCCATCTGCCATCATCCAATGTCAGACCAGCGGGAAAAGTCTTCATGGGCAACCCGTCATATAACGACACATGATACAACCACGTCGCTCCGCCGTCGAGATGAAAGGAGCCCAGGTCGGCAAGGGCGTGGCACCGAGAAACAGAGGAGCGGAAGATTTGTGAAACATGTGTGAGCGCATGAATCGCCGCCGCCGTGGTGAGAGCAGCCTCGCTACTGTCTGTATGTGTGATGCCTCAGATAAACTTCCGACCATGGTGATTGACAACTGTGAAATCCGCGCCCAAACTACCTAGCCCGACGCACATTCGATAGTCGCTCAATAACCTGGAGCGTGTAAAGTAGGAAAGGTAATCGCCCATGAGACGAATAATCAATCCCCACCACTACCAATCAACGAGACCATGTCATCACAGCTGAATAAGGGGTCCACCAACAACACCACCACCACCACCATGTCGTCGGAAATAGAGGGTGTTGTGGTCCACTTGGAACGGGGATCAAACCTGCCACTGCTGATTTGCTGTGTCGTCACGCATGCATATCTCGGTATTACTCCTCCATCGATTCCCATCCCTTGTCTACACCATCACCCTCTTCCTCTCCATCCTCGCTCTCGCCTTCCTCGCTATCAGAGTCGGTATCAGGTTCATCGAGCCCAATGAGACGTTCTTTGCCATCTCCCTTGATTTCTGGAACCTTGCTGGCGAACGCTGCACGTACCGCTGCGTTCGTGCTCGTGTCCCAAATCTGCACGGCTCCTTTGCTGCCCGCAATCGCTAGCCGGAAACCTACTTCCTTGTCGGGTGCAAACGATGTCGAGAACACTCGTCCGACGCCAAGGTCTCGCGACACCACCATGCTTGGGCCGCTTTCTTGAATGTTCCACAGCTTCACTTGCTTGTCTGTCGAGCCTGTCACAAGGAAACCAGGTATGATGGGATTGATATCAAAAGACGAGATGGACTCGTCGTGCGCTTGCAGAACCCAGACTGGTTTCGATGCAGACGGATCTTTTGGCGCATTGCGAGTGTCGTGGTAATGTATCATGCCATTTTCGGTAGACACCTGTTACAGTTAGGATTCGTTTTTTGGCATCATGGTAATACTCACATAAAAGTAATTGGGGTCATGAGGGTTCCAACGGACAGTCTCGACGTCACTTTCAACACCCCATCGGGGCGCCTTTGCTTCGGGAGCTCGCATATCCGCAGCCACCACAGTCCGATCATAACTTCCACTTAGGAGCGCTGTAGACTCAACTGGGTGCCATGCTACCGAGCAGACCTTGTCGGTGTGGTAGGTGTATGACTTGGCGCACTTGGTCGTATTCAAATCCCAAAGCTTGATGGTCTTGTCTGCGGATGAGGAGGCAAGCAGGTTGCGGTGGTGACGATTGGCGGCAAGAGAAAGCACAGAGTCGACGTGGAAATCGTCATTTGCCTTCTTTGACTTTTTCTTTTTCTTCTTGGGCTTGCCTGCACTGGCAGCATCCTCAGCACCCTGGCCCAAGACTGCGTCTGGGTACATGCTATCCACGACATCCAAATTCCAAATCTCGATGTCCGGGTCCATGGTACCAATCGCCACGTAGTTTCCCTTGCCATCGCTTGAGCCAACAGACTTACCTACTGGCAAATCCAGCCATTCGACAGCAAGTGGGATGGCGGGCAGCATGATGTCGTGGTGGACGTAGAGATTGTCGTCCTCGTCCTCGTAAACGTAGACTTCCAGATGTGCGACCTCGTCTTCTATCCGTCCGGCCAGGACGAGATTGTCTGTAGCCAAGATCTGCAGCTCTTCCCGTTCCTCATCCTCGTCCTCCTCTCCGCCTTGCATGGTGATGTACGGGTCGTCTTCGTCGTTTTCGTGAAAGACCAAGTTCTTCACATTGCCAAACATGGCCATGGTGTCGCCCTGGTCTTCGGCAACATCGTCGTCATAGTGCTCGAGGTCGTATTCTTTGAGGTCGTCATCCACATCGCTATAGAATGAGTACAAGGCCGTGCATGTCAGATGGAAAGAGAGGCTCACTCGTTCTCACTTGCTTTTGGCTTCTTTCCAGATGTGCCATTCTTGACCTTAGCTTCCTCTTGTGCCTCTTCGAGTTCTTCCTTGGCGTCCTCGAGTTGCAGGTTTGCCAGTTTGGAGATGCGCTCATATTCGTCTTCGTCGAATTGATATCTTGACGGGAATGGTGCTGCGAATCCACGCGGCACCCATGTTGTTGCTGTGATCATAGACATGATGTGTGGTGAGGAAATGGGGCCGGCGCAGTAAAGCCTTGCTGGTGGTAAAGTTGGAAATAATTTTGGCCTACCCCACCGTAACTGGCTAGAGCTCTGACGTCTATCGATAGCGATAACCTAATTTGCGGACCTCCGAGCACTCATCAGTTGATCACCGCCCGAGAGCCACATTGCTAGCATCGCCGGCTCTTTCACTCACCAGCCCGCATTGCACGCCGCATTGCTCGCCAACAAGAAAACGCCCTATATGGATCGTGAGAACAGCCCAAAGAGGCGGAAGATTGATAGCGAAGAATATTCGATTGCGCCTCGCCCCAAATTCCGCAAGCCAAATCACCCTCGCGACTCTGCACCATCTTCACGAGCGCATACGCCCAGACTACACGATCAAGGCTCCAATGGCCACCATGGCCCCCAGAAGCCTTTTACCGGGCCAGAACCCCTGGTTGAGGATTTCGACTCGATGGCGCTGGATCGCGACTGGTACGGTGGGGAAGAAAACGGGCATACCTTTGGCGACGACACGCACAACCCATTCGGAGGCGCCGACAGCACCTGGCAGGACGCGCAGCGAGAGGCTGCTTTGACCGAGAAAAAGCAGAACAATCGCGCAAGCATGAGGGCGCAGCAGAAACAAAAGGACGTAGACGCGTGGGAGACGAATCGGATGCTGCAGTCTGGTGTGGCCCAACGACGAACCTTTGACGATGACTTCGACGATGATGAAGAGGGCATGCGCGTGCATATACTGGTCCACGACCTCAAGCCGCCATTCTTGGATGGCAAGACCGTCTTCACAAAACAGATTGACCCGGTGCCCGCTGTGCGTGACCCACAGAGTGACATGGCCGTCTTCAGTCGCCGAGGCAGTCGAGTTGTAAAGGAAAAGAGGCAGCAAAAGGAACGGCAAAAACACGCACAGGAAGCTACTAGCGCCAAGGGGACCACGCTGGGAAACATCATGGGCGTCAAAGAAGACGACGCGGACAGTGCCGCTCCCATGCCCGAAGAGGAGGAGAAGCAGGGTGGAAGCAAGTTTGCACAGCATCTGAGTAAACAAGAAGGTGCTAGCGCTTTCAGTAAGAGCAAGACGCTGAGGGAACAACGCCAATATCTCCCAGCTTTTGCAGTGCGAGAGGATCTCTTGCGTGTGATTCGCGACAACCAGGTCGTCATTGTAGTCGGCCAGACTGGGTCTGGAAAGACGACGCAATTGACGCAATTTCTCTTCGAAGACGGATACGCCAAACATGGGCTCATCGGTTGCACGCAACCACGTCGTGTAGCTGCCATGAGTGTAGCCAAGCGTGTCAGTGAAGAGATGGAGGTCAGACTAGGAGGTCAGGTTGGCTATGCAATTCGATTTGAAGACTGCACCAGCAAAGAGACCAAGATCAAGTACATGACTGACGGTGTTCTGCTTCGAGAATCTCTGGTTGAGCCAGATCTTGACAAGTACTCGTGCATCATCATGGACGAGGCTCACGAGAGAGCCTTGAATACCGACGTGCTCATGGGGCTACTGAAAAAGGTGCTTGCACGAAGAAGAGACCTCAAACTAATAGTCACGTCAGCTACGATGAACTCTGAGAGGTTTTCGCGATTCTATGGAGGGGCCCCAGAGTTCGTCATCCCTGGACGTACATTTCCAGTCGACATTCAGTTTTCTCGGTCGTCGTGCGAAGACTATGTGGATAGCGCGGTCAAGCAAGTCCTTGCCATCCACGTCTCCCAGGGTCCTGGCGACATCCTAGTCTTCATGACAGGCCAGGAGGATATCGAAATCACCTGCGAGCTCGTGGCTGAAAGGCTGAAGCTCCTCAATGACCCACCGAAGCTCAGTATCCTACCAATCTACAGTCAAATGCCTGCAGATCTCCAGGCCAAGATTTTCGAGCGTGCAGCACCAGGTGTCCGCAAAGTCATCGTGGCGACGAATATTGCAGAAACGAGTCTAACAGTCGACGGCATCATGTACGTTGTCGACGCCGGCTTCTCCAAACTTAAAGTCTACAATCCCAAAATGGGCATGGACACGCTCCAAATCACGCCCATTTCCCAAGCCAATGCCTCGCAGCGCGCCGGTCGCGCAGGCCGCACGGGTCCAGGGAAATGCTTCCATCTCTACACAGAACGGGCATTTCGTGATGAATTCTACATTCAGACCATTCCTGAAATTCAGCGCACGAATCTGGCCAACACTGTGCTCCTGTTGAAATCCTTGGGTGTCCGCGACCTCCTAGACTTCGACTTCATGGACCCACCGCCACAAGACACAATCACCACCTCCCTCTTCGACCTCTGGGCGCTCGGCGCCCTCGACAACATCGGCAACCTCACCCAGCTCGGCCGCACAATGACGGCCTTCCCCATGGACCCCTCGCTCGCCAAACTCATCATCACTGCGGTAGACTACGGCTGCACGGAAGAAATGCTCACCATCGTCGCCATGCTCTCCGTCCCCAGCGTCTTCTACCGGCCCAAGGAACGGCAAGAAGAATCCGACGCGGCGCGCGAGAAATTCTTCGTCCCGGAAAGCGACCACCTCACCCTGCTGCACGTTTACAGTCAATGGAAAGTCAACGGCTACAGCGACTCGTGGTGTCTCCGCCACTTCCTCCACCCAAAGGCCCTGCGCCGCGCAAAGGAAATCCGCGACCAAATCAAAGACATCATGGACAAGCAGAAAATGGCCCTCGTCTCCTGCGGCACCGACTGGGACGTTGTCCGCACCTGCATCTGCAGCGGCTACTATCACCAAGCCGCAAAAGTCAAGGGCATCGGCGAATACATCAATCTCCGCACCAGCGTCACCATTCAACTTCACCCGACCAGCGCCCTCTACGGCCTCGGTTACCTCCCCGACTACGTCGTCTACCACGAACTCATCCTCACGAGCAAGGAATACATGTCCTGCGTCACCAGCGTAGATCCCCATTGGCTCGCAGATCTTGGCGCCGTCTTCTACAGTATCAAGGAGAAGGGCTATTCGAAGCGTGATAAAAAGATCGTCGAGATTGAGTTTAATAAGCGGGCTGAGCTCGAGGCTAAAATGGCAAGGGATAGGGAGGACGAGGAACGCAGACTTCGGAACGAGGAGGAAGGGGGTGTGAGCGCGGCCAAGGTGGCGAGCGTGAAGAAGGGGGGTGTGGGTGCGGAGGCAGATGGAGATGGTGTGGTGAAGAGGCCGGTTAAGAAGAAGTTTGGGCGTAGGTGAAGGGCGGGCTGGGTTGGGATACATGGTTGCGGGATTTTGCATGTATGTAGGGTGTTTCGTGGATTATGGTGTCCCTAGCCTTTTCTCGCCTTTACCGCCCTGTCTATGTGTACCTATAGGCATCGTGACTATTCTTCTTCCGCTTGGCCATGTCAACAGCATACTGACACGATTACTCGTCGCATCCATAGAGATCTACTATTTCCAATTGTACATAAACTACAGTTTAATACACAGCATTGAGGCCCCTCGACTTAAACTTAGACATAGACATTATAATTAAGAGAACTCTGTCACGATATATACCCATTCCGAAACAGTCCACTCCAGCGCCGTAACAACAAAGGGTATGCTAAAGGAACACGTAAAATAGTTAATCACAACAAACAATAAGCCTCCATCAGCATTCTTCTTCGTCTTTAAGAAGCCTCCAATTGGCCCCTAGCATCACTCTTCTGCAGTAGAGTTCATCTTATGCGCCGCCTTGACGAGCGCCTTGAGTCTCTTCTCCATGACGCTGCGGCCCTCAAGCGTATGCCATACCTGATGCGGTGCCTTCTTAACAATATCAAAGGCTACCAGGTTATCCGTCAGCCTGGTCAGATCCTCCTGCTTGCGCTCCCACTCGCGGTCCTTGCCACAGGAGATGCCGCTCGACACAATGGCAAGCGGTGTATCAGCGCTTTGAATATTCCTTGACGAAACGACTTCGTTCTTGGTGAGCGAGTCGGCAAGCAGGTTCTCCTGGAGCTGTGCCTTGATAAATTTGCCGGATTGGTAGGCGTTGCGGCCGTAGACACGGTCTTCGCGTGTGCGACCTTTGAAGATTGCGCCGGCGAGACGGACAGTGCCAAGAGGAGAGATGATGCCCCATGCCCATAGAAGAAAACCGCGACCGGGGCTACCAATGCGGTGAAGCAGGTCCTCGTGGAGGGGATCGATCATCATGATACCGACGACTTGCTTGAGGTGGCGGGAGCTAAAGATACGCGAGACGATGCTTCCAGAACCGGCCGAGACGAGGATCCATGGGCCTTCCTCCCCAGTTACGGAGAGGGCCTCCGAAAGCGCGTCAGCCGACATGCCGGCCGAGTGTGGAGAAGGAGCGTTGTCGGAGAAGGCATAGCCTGGACGATCCCAGTAGCAGTAGCGCGAGATGGTGCCATTCTTGTAGGCTGCATAGGCCCAGTGCTCGAAATCGTACTCGAGGGGCTCTTCTCCAGCCTCGAGGAGAACGGTAGGGTCCCTGGTCTCACCAGTGTAGGTGACGTTGCCAACACATGCGAGGTGCACAGCATACTTGTCACCATCGACGAGAACACGGTCGCCGTACATCTTGAGGGTTGCATCGCTGGTGCGCAGGCCGAGGGTAGCAGTCATTAGGATGACAATGATGATGAAGAGTACGGTCAAGGTAGTTGCAATGAGAACCGCAACCCACTCCTTGAGAGTGCGTCTTGTCTCTGCCCGGCCAGTCAGACGCTCCTCCTCTTCCTTCTTGCCGTATGCGACGACACGATCTGTTAGGATGCACCAGACGGCCATGAGGAATGCCCAAATGACACTGGCAATACCGACCCATCCTTCCTCCAGCCGAAGACGTGGTACAGCCAGAATGATGATCATGTCAATCGCAAGGAGCACCGCAATGATGGCCGTGGTGATGCGCAGTCCTTTGGCTGGCGTGACGAAGAAAATGGTAGCCACGAGAAGATTTCCGAGAGTAAGACATGTGTAGGCGAAGTCGAAGAAGCCCGATCCGCGCGTATGAAGACCAGGTGGAGAGACGAAGATGGAGACCAACAAAAGCACCCACCACAGGAAGGTGACGACTAGGAAGAGAACGGTCAGGTAGCGCATAGCCCGCACCGTCCAGAGATTGTATGGAGATACCTAACAAGATCAGACATGGCCCAGTTTGTGCGTGTATACTACAGTCCAACTTACCGCTGGGTCATCTGGATCCAAGTAGCCATCGGCGTTCGGTGGCGGCCTGGGACGGTCGAGAAGACGGGTACGCTCGTTCGGCTCCTCATAGCTTCTCCTCGAGGGCTCGTAGCTACGTCTCGAAGACCTGGAGACGCCATCATCCTGTGGAATTGGGTGCGGTGGCTCCACGTTCAGTTGATCGCCATTCTGCGAACTGTTCTGGCCGCCTTTCCACATGCCCGACATCTGGAGTTCTCTTTATTGAGCTAGGTGTGACCACCCCTACCAGTGTGAGACGGACTCTGGGAGGTCGTGGGAGGATAGACAACAGACGTCCTGGGTCAGCTGGAAAAGCAACAAGAAACCACAGAGGGATTCTACCGCGGTATGGAATGTATTAGAAGCTTTTGAAGAGCTTGTAGAAGAAGAGCAGACAGTTCTGAGGGGGCGGAGAGAGGTTGCTTTTGTTCGAGGCTCGAAGTTGCGCTAATGATTGGGGATCGACGTCATGGCCGTCACCTTTGACTACTTGCACCTAGCACGGTAGACTTCGAGACTTGGTACATAGACTTGGTAGAGCTAGGGCATACTACTATGGTAGTAAGTATACTGTACTGGATTACTCCCAGCTACGCATCATTTTGAAGCCCGTCCAGTCCGTGTTACTGGAGCTCAGCCCTGTGGCGGAACTCTATTGCCCACCACAAAAGCACAGAATGCCAGGATACAACATCTCCTCCCCGAAAATATACGGTAGACGGTGGATAGGAAAAGTAGCGTGCGGTGCCTCCAAGCCTGCTTGCCGTCGTCTATCTACTACCGTGAGGGCCCTTTGTACTCTAAGAGTAAGTTGTTCCAAGTGGCCACAGCCCCGCATACGTCATTGAACTCCTTCCCCCCCCATCTCCCCCTTCTTGCTTCTGTGTCTCCTTGGCCTTCTTGCATGCCATCGCGCTCTCGCTGTTGGAGATGTTCGGGACAGTGAGCCAGCAGACATCTCTCACGGCCGTGAAGATCTTCATCCAACCAGGATATTTTACACAACTTACTGGATCCCTGTCTCCCTCACTATCAGGCACCATACACCACCCCACATGCCGTGAACCTGCCTCACTCCCCTCACCCCTTGTACATCCCCGTTCGGCGTCACCCCCCCCCCCCCCCCCGA